TCACTGGTCCCTCTGCCTTGTGCCTCGAAACACCACTAGAGGCATGTAATCACGGAGAAATGCAATTCCTGGAATTTCTTAATGCTTTATTATGACATATCTAACTTCTAAAATAAATGATTTATTTTGAAGGCTAGCGATCATAAGAGTATTCACCCAGTAGCTAGGGAATGGAGAAGAAGTCAAAATGTAGATCATAGCAGCAGAGAGAAATGGCCAAGCAGTGGCCATCTTACGAGTTCTGAAGGATATAAAAATCTAGAATAAAGTATATTTTATATAAAAATTGAGAAGCTGGGCTATGATTGGCCAACATATTTGTATATTAATATATAGATTGTCTTACCATAATATTGCTTCTTTTCTCCCTAACAAAGGAGCATTAATATGTTTACACACCAAAACATGCATGACCTATATTGCAGTTATAAATGCATGCAGGTTAAATTGGAAAAAATGTAATTGACTTACACTGACAGAAAGATCACACTCTATTTTTTTATTAAAAAGTCCTATTTGATATAATTAGCATCATACTAAAATTTTTAAATATTGAAAAGTATAGTCATGAAAAGTAAAAGCAGCATGATTTTTTTAAATAAGTGGAATGTAAAATTGAGACTCAAATTATATCAAAGTGGATAGAGGTTTAAACCTGAAGATTAAGTTTCTATTTCTAAATAATTGTTTGGAAGTTTCTGTATCTTAACAATTGTTCTAAATAACAACATAAGCCAAAGCAGACCAAATGATATTTTCAGGGAAAGAGTACCAAAGTTTTTCTTGGAAAAGGGCCAGTTTTAGGTAGGGGGTGTTTATGGCCTGGGGAGTTACTGTAGCAATAGAGAAAGATTAATAATTTGCACATGTGAGATTCTTAGAAGGCAGGATACAGCTGTAAAGAATTAACCCCTCTTGAGAGATGTAAAAACACAGAGCAGCTGAGAGGAGACCTGTTGGGAGGAACTAAAAACTATTCAGGCTACAGATGTCCTGCAAGTGAAGCAGAGAAAGTACATTTGGAAACTGACAAGCTTTTGTCTTTACTTATAAATGGGCATACAATCATAAAAAATTAAGACAAAGCAGGCAATTGTGACCAATTAAAATGTACTCTTTAACGTTAAGTAAGCACTGTAATTAGTTATTTAAAGAAATTGAGTACTACAATACTTTGCTCAAGGATGACTTAAAATGGAGCCGCTCTCTCAAAGGAAGGTGTGTACACTCAAGTGACGACGCTCTGTACCTCTAGCCTTCTGAAATAGTGCTTTGTTGACTGACAGAGGCCCATTTTTCAGAATACACAGACCTAAAAAAAAAACCGTAATCAAATCAAAACATTTTATCAATGGCTTAAATGAGAGGTCCAAATTTCCTTTTAACTGAAGCTGGTGGTTGATTTTTGCTTCATGAGAGAGATGAGTGGCTGCTACACTTTAATAAAAGAAACTCACCATACTTTTTTAAAGATCTTAAAACACAGGTTTAAAGAAGGAAGATATTACTGAAAACATTTTATGAAACCTCAAAGTAAATCTCATTTATCAATCCAATTTCCTTTGAGCCTGAAGCAGAGATGGAAAAAAATACACAACTGACGTAATGTATAATTCAGTGCCTTAGTGTTTCCTTCAAAATAATAAGTCAGTGGTTCTCAAAGTGTGAAATTGGGTCCCCTGGAGGGGCGTTCCCTATGACTCTATCAGGGCTCTCAGGAGGTCACACTTATTTTCATAATAATACTAAGACATTGTTGTTTTTTGTCACTTTTAGTGTCTCATGAGTGTTCAGTGAACTTTTCAGAGGCTACATGAAGCGATGACATCATCACTCTGGTGGCTACGGAATGTACGCTTGTATATTCTTGTGTGTTGGGGGATTTTCTAGGTAAACTCTTTGGAGTCATCAATACATTTTAAGAATATAAACTTATTTTCACACTAAAAAGTTTGAAAGGTATTAAAATATGGTCACCTGGTCCAGTTCACAATACATTCTTGCCAGTGTCTTTGATGTTTTCAGTGCTTTTTACATAATGTTAAACAAATTACAGTTGATATCATGACAAAAGTGTACACATATCTGTTGTATGTACATTTCAAACTCAGTACTTAGCAGCAGAACCTTTAAAATCAACGACTTGAAATTGTAAGTGTCAATATCCTATAAAACAGATAAAAGTAGAGCTGCTGTCCTGGGACAGGGGAAGCATAGACCTGCCTATGGGCGGCTCTGAAGACTCCTCCAGAGCTTCCCAGGCCTCTGTGGAGACATGAAAACCACCATGTTAGATTTTCAATATATATTGGTGTGTGTGTGTGTGTGTGTGTGTGTGTGTGTGTGTGTGTGTTCTTCTACACATATAATTTTATTTGGTTTCATTAATAATCCTGTGAGGTATAAGAAAATATATATTATCCCATGGTAAGTAAAAAGAAATGGAGAGCCTTGCAGGGGGGAAATGAATTCTCCAAGGTCACGTATACTGTAGGTGGTACAGCCACGTCTGACACCAATGTCTTCTGATTCCATGTCCCCAAGCCTTATCTCTATACCATTCTGGCTCTATTTGGAATTTTAAGCTGCTCATAAACTTAAGCCTAATTTTCATAATTATTACATGTTTAGCTCTCTTCTTTCCTAGGCATGGAGAGAGGTGAGAGGATCCCCCTTTACTCATTCTGAGTTTTCCTCAAGAATTCTATTCTAAAACCTTATGTTGGCATGCACCTCAGTGTATTTAATATTTGCTAAGGAGTCCTCTGTTAACATTAATCCTCCACCCCCCCCCAAAAAAAAAGGAATAAGCAAACAAACAAGCAAATAAATATGAGGAGAACAGGAGGGAGGGCATCATTCAGGAGGAGAACAGGAGGGAGGGCATCATTCAGGAAAGGTATACCCCAAGATGACAGTGATTTTTGCTTAAAGTCTTCTCCTTTTTTTTTTTTGCCCCACCCAGTCTATCATTCCTTTAGTGGTCATATTGTAAGTTGAAAGAGAGAGGTCTCAAGAATTTAAAGTCTTCATATATTATACACACAGGAATTACTACCTGAGGTTTTAAAAATAATCTATTTTAACTGAAGAGTATGCCTATTGCACCTTTATTTCAGGTAAGTAAATAAACACAACAATGTGAATAGCTTTCTAGGGTCACAAAGGCAAGAAAACAGCTAAATAATGTTTACAATATACAAGGCAAATCTATAGTACATTTGATTTAATCACTGTCTTGTTTTTCCTCATTAGGCAGTGATTACTAGACTTTTTTTCCTTTTTTCATAAATTCTTCTTCCTTCCTCAACCTCCAACACTGATACCTCAACTTTTATCTGCAGCTCAGTTATGTGTTTGGTGGGGAAATAGGACTTTGATAGCAGTATGATCTTTCTGAGGAACAGGTCAGTCTCCTACTGAGTTGGAATTTGCAACCTTCTTGGGGTTGCCTGGCCCAGATATTTTTTGTTAGACCAAAAACTAAACGTGGTCATTATTTTCAGGCTTTAGAGAAATATTCACAAGCAGGTCTGATCTATCTACAGCTACATTAAAAGCTCCTGAATACCATTCCTATGAACCAGTGTATTTCTAATAATTTATCTTCACCAAAAATAGCACCACACACAAATTGAATAATAGAAGTATTTATCAAGCTGTGTTACTTAATAGTAACTGTAATATAAAGACTATAGAATGTTCAGGGAAAATCAACCCAATGAGTTAACACAACCCTATGTTTAATTAACATGATAAAGTTTTTTTCTTTTATAATCAAGATTTTATTGGCTATTTTGAGAATATAGGCACAGACATATCAATTTGTACACAATTCTTAATGTACATACCAAAAACCTAAAAAGTCATGTAGTTGTGATTCTTTTCTAAACAGTTATTCCAGTGATGTTCCAGCTTAAAATTTGAAATCTCATTTTCTTTAATAGAATATCAAGTACCAAAATTTTCAAATGTTGATACGCTGTTACATCAAAGTACCACTAATTCACAATTTTGTATCATATACACTACCTACTCAAATTTTCAATCTTTCACAGCACATTAACAAAATTACTAAGAAAACTGGACTACTGCCATCAAAGATGTTACAGAGTACACAAAATTTTTACAGGGAGAGCCAAGGTCTAGGAGTGGTTTTGTTTAGGAAACAATTCTGCCAAAAACATGGGACTAGAAGTAATTAAAAATATTCAAGAAATAGTAAGTGCATGACTGACTCCAAATTGCCATTTAGTATGCTTTGTATTATAGGATAAAAAAAGCTCCCCCCATCTATGGAATATTAAGCTGACACCCAAGACAATCAAAACCTCCCATATTCAAAATCCCACTATTTTCTGGTTGTACCAAAAAAAACAACAACTAGCAAATGATTTCAACTCTTTAAAAAACAAAGTGGGGGGGTGAGGTACGATTTCCTTCTTCTTAAAATGTTTCTAGAGCTACTAAAAAACTTGCATTTACAACATAGTTGATAAAAATAGTGTTGGGCCGGCTGATTAGTGCTCGGTTAGGAGTTGTCTTGGGACGCCAGCTCTGAGCAGCAGGACCCCGGTTTGGATCCCACATGAGGGCCAGTGACACTGCGACCTGTACAGTTAAGATGGTGAACAACTCCAGCTCGACCTGGAGCTAGGCTGCCGTGAGTCGCAAGCGATGGCGTAGGATGCAGTGGGGCTGGCTGGCAGCTGGTTTGAGCTTTTGCGAGCTGCTGTGAGCTGCCATGAGCGGCCATCCAATGGCTGGCAAGCAACTGCCTCACCCGGGAAGAGCAAAATGATAATACCAACATGGGCCAGTGAAGCGACGTTCTCCACAACTAGACTGAACAACAAAAGGACAGCAACTTATCTGTTCCCCTTCCCTGATTCCCCAACGCTGTTCCCCTCCCCCAATTTCCCAATGAAATTAAAAAAAAATTTTTTTTTGATTGTACAAGAAGGGAGATGGGCAATACTGATAAGATATGGTATACGATATTAATCAGACCTGGTTTCTTTCTCTCTTGAATCATCAGAAGATGGACTCTCCTTATTTTTAGTTTCTCTGTTTTCTGCAGGTAAATCTTTAGTTTCTTGATTAGCCACTTGGTTAGCCTGTTTTCCATTTGCTCCCCTCCGTCCTTTATTTCCTTTTAATTTTTATTAAATTTATTAAATAACATTGGTTAGTAAAATTATATAGGTTTCAGATGTACATTTCTATAATACATCATCTATATAGTGCATTGTGTTTTCATCACCCAGAGTCAGTTCTCTTTCTATCACCATATATTTGACCCCCTTTACACTCTTTTACTACCCTTTTATCCCCTTACCTCCTGGTAACCACTAAACTATTGTCTGTGTCTATGTGTTTTTGTTTCTCTATTTGTTCTTTTCATTTTTATATGCCACATATGAGTGAAGTCATAGTCTTTGACTTTTCTGTGTGACTTATTTCACTTAGCGTGATAATCTTAAGATCCATCCATATTGTCACAAATGACAGTATTTCATCTTTTGTTATGGCTGTGTAATATTCCATTGTATATATGAACCACAACTTCTTTATCCAATCATCTATTAAAGGACATTTTGGTTTCCATGTCTTGGCCACTGTGAATAATGCTGCAATGAACATAGGGGTACATATATCTTTGCAGATAAATGTTTTCAAATTTCGGGGGTAGATACCCAAAAGAGAAATTGCTGAATCACATGGTAATTCCCTTCTTAATTTTTTGAGGAATCTTCATACTGTTTCCCATAGTGACTGTACAAATTTGCATTTCCACCAGCAGTGTATAAAGGTTCCTTTTTCTCCACAGCCTTTCCAACACTTATTATTACTTGTCTTGTTGATAATGGCCATTCTAACAGGTGTCAGATGGTATCTCATTGTGGTTTTGATTTGCATTTTCCTAATAGCTAGTGAAATGGAGCACTTTTTCATGTATCTTTTGGTTATTTGTCTTCTTGGGAGAAGTGTCTGTTTAGGCCTTCTGCCCACTTTTTAATTGGATTGTTTGTTTTTTTATTGTATGAGTTTTTTATATATTTTGGATATTAGCTCCTTATCAGAGGTATTGTTTGCAAATATCTTCTCCCATTTGGTTGGTTGCTTTTTTGTTTTATTGATGGTTTCTTTTGCTGTGCAGAAGCTTTTTAGTTTGATATAGTCCCATTCATTGATTTTTGCTTTTTACTTCCTTTGCCTTTCAGGTCAAATTCATAAAGTCCTCTGTGAACCCAAGGTCCATACGTTTAGTACCTGTAGCTTTTTCTATGCAATTTATTGTTTTGGGTCTTATGTTTAGGTCTTTGATCCATTGTGAGTTAATTTTGGTGTATGATGACAGAGAGCCATCTAGTTTCATTCTTTTGCATGTGGCTTTCCAATTCTCCCAGCACTATTTATTGAAGAGGATTTCTTTTTTCCAATGTATGTTTTTGGCTTGTCAAAAAATTATCTATCTATCTATCTATCTATCTATCTATCTATCTATCTATCATCTATTTAGCATGCCCCCAAAAATGTATACACATTTTAAGAAAGGAAAAAACTGTATTAAATGTAATACTCAATATATACTGATAACAAAAGATGAGTACAAGTCACGTTTAACTTCTGCAATTATAAGAGGTGCTCAAAGTGGTTACCATCAGCATCCAGACACTTCTGATTATGGCGAACTATTGCCTGAGCATAAATAACATCACTTAAAATGTTTAAAATGTGTATACATTTTTTTGGCACCCCTGGTGTGTGTGTGTGTGTGTGTGTGTGTGTGTGTGTGTGTGTGTGTGTGTGTATTAATTTGGGGGCTCCCAGTTCTAGTCCATTGATTTGTGTGTCTCTTTTTTCTGCCAATATCATGCTGTTTTGATTATTGTCACTTTGTAGTATTAATTTAAGTCAGGGAGTGTGATACCTCCAATCTTGTACTTTTTTCTTAGAATTGCTTTGGCTATTCAGGGTCTTTTGTGATTCCATATAAATTTGATAATTTTTTGTTCTATTTATTTAAAAACTGCTATTGATAGGGATTGCATTAAATCTGTGTATTGCTTTGGGTAAAAATGCTTTGAAATTGGAGATCAACTGAAAAAAAAAGCAGAAAAACCCTTAAATACATGGAGATTAAACAACATGGTACTAAAGAACCCCTTTTTCCCTTTTGCTTGCACTTTTTGTCTGTAGATTTGTCCTTTGCTTGCACTTTTTGTCTGTAGATTTGTCCTTTGCTTGCACTTTTTGTCTGTAGATTTGTCCTTTGCTGCCCTTTTTGGGGGGCTCCATTTCCACTTTTGCAGGAGCAGGGTTAGCTGACAGCCTTGCCAACCTCCTCTTGGGCTCCTCTTTCACTGCTCCCTGGGTGGAGCTGACCTTCCTTTTGGGCATCGTAGTGGCAGGGCGGGCGCATGCTGGGTGCCTGTGGGCTATGGTGTGCCGAGAACCTTCCCAAGCTGGACTGCTTGGCAGCTGCCTGTCCTCCAGTGCCCGAGCTGCTGGGCAACACAATGTTTTGTATACCAACTCATTCTATTGTCTAAAACAGCATTTTATCATACAAAATAAAATAGTAAAAGTTGACTTATACAATATTCTTTATCATCATGATGTTTTAAGCTATTTAATGCACTGTTAAAAGATAAACTAAAATTAAAATTTAATTTTATATTAAATTTTAAGTTTATCATTAAAATTTTAAGAGTTTATTTGAGCAAAAATTGACTTGAATTGGGTAGCATCCAATCTAGCAGATAGAAAGTTCTGAGGAGTTGTACAAAATGAAAAACTTTTATAGGCAGAGGAGAGCAGGAACATGAAAATTATAATAGGCAAGAAAGCTAGATGGTTATTACAAGGTTACTTTCCATTAGGGGATGGCAAGGATCTATCAGGCAGAATACTGCTATTCAGGCAATTTCTAATTAATTAATTTAAGTTTTCTTATATGGGATAGCCAAAACTGTAATTAGTAAGTCTTTGCTTTGGTGATGTACAGCTTAGCATAAGCAACTTCTTTTGGGGTCTGTTGTCTTATTTTTAACAGTACACAGGGACTTTGCAAGGTGGGGGAAATTATTTTCCCATTTTACAAATGATGATAATAGACATAGTAGTTCGGTAATATACCTGGAATCATATCCCAATCTGTGGTACTACTGGAGCAGAGGCTTTTTGCTTTCCAGTGAGGTTCTTAATCTTTTTTGTTATCTTGAAAGCATTTTACTATCAGAAATGTTTTATCTTGCTCAAGGCATGTTTACTGAATATCTACTATGAACCAGGGACTTTTACACATCATCTCATTAAAACCTTGTAAACCACCCTGTTAAAAAGTGATTATAGGTGAGTCTATTGAGGTTCAGAGATGTTATTTGCCAGGCTTCAACATGATGGAATCAGGATTCTAATCTCAAGTTCAAGAATCTTTCTTTCACAACTTTGCCTCAATTTTTTCTACTACAAGTCTAAAAGAAAAATGAAGCATTTCTGCAATCACATATAAATATAATCCACAAAGCTAATACATCCCTAGACAATCTAACAATTTCAAAGAAAAAACAAAGACAAAAAAAGTAAAAATAAGTTACTAGAAAAAAATGAGACGAAATTAAAACAATTTGTTTCAAAACAGAGTTCAAAATTTAGCAAATACATATTGATTTCTTACTATGTCAGGCATCATTCTAAGTCTCTGGCCTCATGGAGCTTGCATTCTAGAGTATTTTGATATAGAAATAAGGATATATGAGCAACAGAAAGTAAAGAATAAGGAAAAGTTAAATACAAACACATGCATGCTGAATGGAAAAGGAGAACCAAGTGAGTAGAGCAAGAACAACTCTGTCATGTTGTCTTACAATAATTCTCCAAATTATTTTCAGTCACGGACAACTGAAGACTTGATTTTCATTAAGACAGAATAAGATTTATTTTCAGAAGTGACTGTTTAATCGGCTTCTTCAATTTAGAAAAGCATTCCTGTAATCAGGAACATAGCCAACCATTCCTTAGGAAAGGTCTGGTGGTTTCCATTTCCTTCCCTGATTGGTTCTTCTCTGGGCAGGAAGTCCCACCCACTGTTGGAAAAGATGGAGGCGGAGGTCCGATGGCGCCTGGAGCTTTGAGGTACAGCATTTAAGAAAGTGGCTTAATTGTGGTTATAACCTCTGGATAGGTTTTATTTTTCAGATTACTAGTCTGGTTATGGTAACTTCTTTACTACCCTGAGGGTATATATGGAGCCGTTTTCGAGATTTAGAGAAAGAAGAAATGACTGCCTACTTTCTAGGCTGCCACCATGGTGTGTGCATGTGTGCGTGCGTGCCTCAGCTCCGTGGTGCTGGCTCCTGGGGAATGGTTGCATGGGATTTGGGGACAGAACTCTGTTATAACTAGATGGGTGCAATACCTCTGTTAACTTGCCATTGTGACAGTACATTTAGGTATGGCATGGATTTGTTTTATATGCTATTAAGTATTAAAGCAATACACACAGATTCTAATGGACTAGTAGCAGTAGTTCCAAAGGAAACCCATTAGCTTTACTAAAGAAGAAAGAGTATGAAGCATTTACCTAATATACCAGCGTCAGTTAAGCACTTCCTGAGGAGGACCCAGAGGTCTGTTTATTTTTCCAAGTAACAAAGGATGAGGGGTTTCTCAGATATTTTTGCTTGAGAAAAATCTTTGGTACTTGAATACTTTAATTTTTTTTTTTAACTGGGGAGAAAGACTTAAGCTCAACTCCGTAACACCCCTTGTTCGCCTTACCCGTTGTGATTACTGCTCAAGAGAGAGGCTAAGTTGCTTACTTCTAGCTCCTAGGCTGCTCACGGGTGGCTGTTGTTAGAATCCCCTTGAGATAATGATTCTTCTGGGTTAGTCTGAAGAAACAGTCTGCAACAATGGCAATCCCCAGGGTGACACTCTAGAGGGGGCCTAGATTCAGCTGTCAGTCACCTTCAGCCCAGAGCCATCAAATCCATTTACACAAAAGCTGGTTATCAAAAACCTTTTGAAAAGCTAAGTAAAGAGGAGATTTACCCATCCTTGAATCTTCATTCTTTTTCCTTTGATTCCCTCATTCTCCTGTCTTTCCTTGTTTTCCTAACTACCTCTGGGAACTTAGGTCTTGGATTTTTTTCCCCCTTCTTTTGTTCCACCCTAGAGTTTACACTATTGTCATCTTAAAATTTGAGCATAAGCTTGACTATAACTCTCAAAATATACAGGCATAAATACATGGTACTCTTGTATGAAAATGTTTAATTCTGAGTATTTTGTCTCCAAAAGGATAGGATTTTCTGGGGGTTGGGAAAGGATTGTTTCATGCTGTAATGTTGAAAACTGAAGTTCTGTGAAGTAGTTTAAGGATTTCTCTAAGCATTCATTTATCTATGCATATACATTCATCTATGCCTTCCTATTGTATACATACCTTTCTGTGTTTTTTTATTTTTTATGCTAATGAGACTGAGTCAGTTTGCAACTGAAATGAGCCTCAATAACTAATACAAATGTAAAAACTTATTTTGGTGTCTAAATGTTACCAAATTTCAAACATAACAATCCTGTCTGTGAATTCTATAACTGTATTTATAAGGAACTGATTTCCTTTCTGAGAGAAAGTGAGAAAGAGATAGAAAGATAGAGTGAGAGCAATTCTGATCGTGCTCTAGAATTCTGATTTTTATGTAATGGCATTATTATACAACATTTAATTTAACAAATTGAAAGTTTTAGTTAGTGAAAAGTATAAATAAAATATTACATTAAAATTTAAGTTTATCTCATTGGTGAGCATATGGTTTCTAGAATTAAACTGACAAAGTATTGCCTGGTATAATGCCTGAGGGAGTATTTGTAATTTAATTAATTTGTCAGTTATAAGAAAATTTAGTGTCATAATTATGGCTAGAGACAGCAGATAGCCTAAGCTGGTAAAGATATGAGGCTTGGTAAAAATCTATCCTTATAGCCAAAGACACTTTATAAAGAACAAGATAGTTGGCATGCTATGACAGGCTATGTCATTAAAGCCAGTGCGAACTGTACTAGTTGCATATGATATAGCCCAGACCCTCATGTAGTCTCTGATCCCCTTCTAGTTACTACCAAAAGAGCACCCCACTATTTCACAGAAAAATAGTTGGGTGTTTCGTATGTTCATTCAACATTATTTCTTCAGCATTTACTACTACTTGCCAGGATATAATAGTAAAAAATTCTTAAGTAACTTACCATGTAGTAGAAAGAACCATAACCAAGCAAGTTTTTGAGGATGCTCAAAAATAGATTATTGTCAATAATCTATTGTTAGAAATCTTATTTGTAAAAGAAATCTGCCCATTCAGACTGTATAATAATATCAACTATGCCCCAGGAACATTGTTAGGATTTGAGGATATAAAAGTCAGCACAATGGGGACTGTGTCCCATGATAGCTTACTACTTCACTAACTTAGCATAGTATAGATCACTCTTATCTCTTCAAAAACAGACCTGCATGGTTTGGTTCTTGCCCATCCTTAGGCCTCTTTCTATTTCCCTCATACCACACTCCAAACACATGCGTTTTTTGTGGGTTTTTCCATTGTTGGAATATGCCATCTTTTTTTCACCTCAGAGCCTTTGGGATGATTGTGGTCCAGGTTTATAAAATTTTATTATGTGCTTCACCCCTGTACTTTGAGAAAAGTAGGAGTACGTTATTAGCTCTTATGGTTGGCTGTTAGCTCTAGTGGGCGATTTAGATCACTTCATCCCCTGGACTCCGATAACATTTTATTGCATGCGTGAAGTAAATTCTTCATATTGTCACTCATCTATTTAATAGTTTTATTAGTTGATTTTTGTTTGTTTTTTTCCTTATGCAACTATCACCATTAGCACAACAAATTATAGTGTGCTTGTTTCCTGAGGCTGCCTGACAAAGTACCACAAATTGGGTGGTTTAAAACAAAACAGAAGTTTACTCTCTTTCAGTTCTAGAGACTAGAAGCCTGAAATCAAGGTGTTAGCCATACTCCCCCAGAGGCTCTGGAAGAGAACCATCCATACCTTCATGTGGCTGGCTGAAGTCCTTGGCATTCCTTAGTTTATAGCCATTTCACCCTAAACTCGGCCTCTTTGTCTTTTTGCCTCTTCCTCTTCTGCTTGTGTCTCTCCTCTGTGTATCTCTTTTAAGGCCACTTGTCATTGGATTTCAGACCCACCTATGTACTCCAGGATGATCCGCTCACCTCAAGATCTTTAACTTGGTTTCATCTGTGAGGACCCCTTTACCAACTAAGGTAACATTTATAGTTTCTAGGAATTTCATGTAGATATAACTTTTGGGGGGGCCAACCATTCAACCCGCTATATATAGGAATTTATTAATTTGATAT